TACTTGATTAACTTTGTAATTTATTGGTTGTGTTGTAAAGATACCTCCATATATTTCTATATATATATATTGGGTTTATGACGGAAAGAAGGATTCGCAAATTTTGTAATGGTCTCAATCGTCGACAGGGTGTTAGGGCGTTTTGCGTGTCATGTACTACTTGTATATTTCGGCACTTGAATAGAGGTAGCGGATTTGATCACGTGATACCGTCAATACTAGGGGTTTTAGCGAATGTGATTTCAAAAGTTAGATCGATAGTTGAAACATATCAAATCACCCCTGACATGTGCACCTGGTAGCAGCTTAGGAGGCATTAAGACATTACCCGGCCGGTTAAAAAACTTTTCTTAATAGCTCAGCCTCCGACTAGGAGTAAGAAATGGAATGCCTTATCCGGCGTACGAGCCTCGTGATGGGACTCGTCCATGCATATCGAGCCTCGTGTCGGGCTGCGCACGATGCTTCTCGAACGTCAGCCTCAATTCAACTGACCTTTGTGCTCAATCCGGTCAGATGACTTTGGGGAGTAGTGGCAGGCATCTCTACTTCGCTCTTTCTACAATTACCCATATAACTTCTTCGCCTTTCCAGCCAACTTTTCACTGGCGGAATCCGCTATTGAAACACGAAATTCAATCCAGACCAGTCGTAGATTGCTGAATGATCACGTATACCACGTGCCATATCATGCGCTGGCATTCTGGTGTTCTTGGGAAGTCCTTCCCCGTTCAAGAATTTGCCTTGCGCTAGGAAAACACCAGGAACCGGGGTTCTGGTAGGTCTATATGCCCGACATTTGCCTCTTCACGATGCATTGGGCAGCTATGCTCCAAGATGTTCGCCCCATCTCAGCCTGATGAATGTGTATTCGTGGATGCGGTCATGCACGGACGCTCTTCAAGATATGTGGTACAGAAGAAAAGCCTCCTCCTGCAACTGACCTCGTGATGCAGGCAGTCGCATCGCACGTATCTGCCCAGCAACTCACATCTTCAAACGTGGTTTTTGTACAGCCCTATGAATCCTAATTCCAGCTGTGATATAGACACACCGATCAGTGTACGAATATCCGACACCGGCGGGTTAGAGTTGGTGTACCGCAGTGTAACAGATTTCAATTCGCTTCTATCGTGGCTTCCGGGTCGATGAGGCAGATTTTGCCCTTCTCTGGTTCTACTATATAGAGTATCGGGATGACTGTCACAGTCAATTTATCTTCTTCTTCTTATGAAAAGGAGTTGATTCCCAAAAGCCCAGGATTCGACACTGCGAACTAGTTTCTTCTTACTGAAAATTCGAGCATGACCTTGTTATTGGTTACAAATGCCTTCAAAACTCAACGCCAAGCATCGTTGTGACTGTTCGTCTTGGATATCAGATCATGAGGACTATGGCAAAAGTTGGGACCAGGTTTTTCTTCAAAAGAACCGTAAACAGCATGACCGCACATTCCAGCAATGCCTACAACAAGAAGACGTAGAACGAGATCCCATCGATGCCTTTTTACAATACACTGACAACTCTATACCGTCAAGAGGAGTCCAACAAGCAAAGATAGTACTCAACAAGATCGCAAACAGTAAAGCCAAGTTACTGAATCCTCGGCGAGCTTGGGTGGACTATCGCACGAAAGCTTCAGGTCAAAAAAGCTCTCCTCGGTGGCTAACACCAAGTGAACTGAAAAAATTCATCAAGGACCGCGTGAGTTATGTACTAGTGATATTTGAAGACGTAAAGAGTGATACTAACTACCCAGCAGTCTACAAATGCCCTCTCCAATACAGACGCGGTCCGTCGTTTGATGTAAGCTGTGTTTAAATTTTATCCGAGTCGTAGTCCTCTGTAATTTCAATATGATCTTGAAATAATACCTTATAACGATATGTCTTAGATTTATCCAGGAATTGGATCGGGGTTTCGTTTGTGAGATTGCACGGTCCTCATCTTGGAATGAAGTTTCGGCCTTGAGACTCGCAATACGCAGCCACCTTGCACGTGAAACTTGTATCAAGGTGCGCATACCGGTATGTTGCCAATTATTTACCCTGTTTATAACGCTGATAACTTTATAGTACACTGGCTTCACTACCTTCCATCTTGAATTCAGTCTACCGTACTTAGTCATAGAAGAACAAGGCTGTTCAAAAGCTCCACAAATCGAGAACGGGAGCGCAGCTGAACTTCTGAAGACAAATCTCTCCTTTTTGAACATCGGGTCGCAAAAAGATGGCTACGCTGCTCGATTCTCTATTTGGAAAGTCCATGAAACTGTCCTCATTTCTGGTTGCGATAGCTCGGAATGGACTGGTTATGCTTTTTCATCCTTCAAGTCTTCAGCTGAGAACATGAAGGAAGACGATGAGTACGACAGCAACGGGGACGAGGATTTCAATGATGAAATGCCAAACGAAGATCTTTTTGCTACAGGTGGCACTGATTACGATGACCATCAGGTGCTAGATGCTAGTACGCCGATATGGGACCCCAGAGTGTACTTTCTAACCGTCTTCGCTATCCGAATGCAGATAATCTACGAAAGGTACGAGTTCCTTATTGGTACCTTTATATCAGGGGTCGAAAACTGGGTAAGTGCTTCAAGACAGGTTTACAACAGTGAATCTCTTAACCATGCCACAATAGATCTCACATTCGATATACACTCCGTTGGACTCCTTGCAAACACCGAGCCCCAATATTGAAATTAAAATTCTGAAAGACAACATCAAGCAGGTTTGGCTAGTATTACATGAGTTGAGTACATGTTTGTCGCGTACCGTAGCTGTGTGGGAAAGATTTCGTAGTATTGATGGAGATGTAGAATATTTCTCTGACATCAAGGACCGGAAGGCAATACTTGCTCTCAAAAAGACCAAAGAGAACTTTCACAATCTGAAATTCGAGCTGCACCAGTTGGAACTTCTGAAGACGACCCTGGAAGACGCTACCAATACCGTACGTTTAAAGTATTACTGCTAACAAATATATCTAACTAGCTAGATAGCTTCGACTGGAACTGATGGACCAGGTCAGCATATCTGTTAAGGAAAACTCGAGACATAGCATGGATCTCAGCAAGCATAGTAGACTTAGTCAGAAGTTTGTTGAAGAGAATATCAAAATCGCAAGGGCGAATGTACCGGTAGGCTCTTGCGGATCTCGCTCGAACGACATCGTTGACATTAACAGCTGGCACAAGTAACGGCATCAATTGCCGTCGCTCTGCAATACTTTTGTAGCGAGCGCAACTTTCTCTCAATCGACCGCAGCCCAAAGACATTCGTACTGTCTATTCCCATGGTACTGATTATCTTGTCATTCGTGGCACCTTGCGTTCAAATGTTGCAATTGGTATTGAGCACATTACCTGTATTGCTCGCAAGGATCCCAGTTTTTGGAAAGATCACAGAAAGTTCAGTATTCAAAAAAATCGATAGATGGATGAGTTGCATGTACCCTGAAGTTGACGAAATCGGTAAGTTACATCTCCGTACATCCTCTTTGCCTCTTTTTCTAGACAGAAAACAGTATTTTATTACAAACTAAAAACATTGATTACAAAATGTTAACTAATAGCTCTAGAACCTTGCGACATGAAACGCTATGATCGCCCAGTGCCTGCAGTAGGATCCTGTTCTTGTGGCCACCAATGCGCTTGACAATTTGGTCAGTTTTAGTATTATTAATCAAGTTTTTGGTTATGTATTAGTAAGATGAGAGTTTGCCTCCTATGATTTGGATCCACAAATTGGTGTTATCATCTTTTCCGCTCACACAGTCCTGATGTGCACCGCCGCGAATGGATGAGTTATATACATGTTCTGAATATCGTTGAATTTACAAAAGATACTTCTCTGTCGTGTATAAATACAAAAAGACCGTTTCTAGTGACGTTTTACTGTCTCGATTTCTGTTCTAGACAAAGTAAATACGAGGCTGGCTATGCTTTCAGGGTTGAAGTTCACCCCGCAGTTCAAAAGTAAAGATGCAGTATAGATGGAGATCAAAAGATTACTGAACATGCTCTTACGTAGGTGCTGTTCTCTTCTCAGGGGTAGGAGTGGGGGTTGGGGGGGCATTGGTATGCCCCTCCTTTGCGCAACCAGGGAGACATAGATCCTCACACTCATTTCGCATCCACCCTACCTCTCGCCTTGTTCAACAGGGTAGTATGGCATCTATCAAACACTAAACCAAGTTCATAGAAGTGTTGATCTGCGTCCCAGACCGTGAGTGTATAATCTGAGACTCATCCAAATGCAGCGTGGGATTGGTGTAGCAAACCATTGTCGATGAGGTCATCCCTCATACTGCAGCCCAATCGCTAGATCACAGGACACAATTCTGTAGTTAGAGTGGTAAGAATTTCTGACTAATGCTTTAAGCTCCTATCATATCGTTTTTCTCATCAATCAGCTCACAGTTCGATATCAATTTGGATACCGACGTCATTTTCTGGCAGGCAAATTCAGTGAACTCATATAGGTTCGGGTAGACAACATCTCCCTAAGCATCTTTAACGTTCTCATTATACGAGGTAATTCACATCCTGAAAAAAGCAGCGCAATGCAACGCTCGGACTCCAGACATGAAAGTCAGCTGGCTAGTGCGATCAGCTCTCCATTGCCCAACGAGTTCAACCACCAACAGGATACACGCCAATGTGCATTTAAGCCATACCACCAATCCCAAGCGAACACGATAACTAGCGGATTTGCAACAACGTGGCAGGCACAATCCTTCAAGGCTGAAGCTCGGCATTCGTGAAGATAGCCGTAACTACCCTTGTGAGAGGGAAAAAAGGCGAAAACAATGAGTTAAGTGATATAGTAAAGACCTTCTTGCTATGTTTGTTTTGGATTGCTCTCGTGTAGCAAAATACGTACTCCTTACAGTTGGCTTCGTTATCGTCACGAGGCTGAACACCAAACATGGCCGGTCCATCGACACTCAGCCTTGCCGGCTTAGAGCAATGGCTAGATCACCTTTTTATTTCAGAAATGAAAACTGGAACCAATGGAGCCAACCCTCTCTTCAACCCTCTTGATATCTGCCGTTCGTCCCTGGCTCATGCCCTTTCCGATCTTGTGACGGGTGACATTCAAGACGCATTTAAATCTATACAATGGCCGAATAATATATTCAATGGGGACCTGTCCGTCACCGTCCCAAGATTGCAGCCAGGCTGCAAGCCAGATGAGTTGTCAGCGGAGTTGGTGGACAAGGTCAGTTCACTTTCGTGTGTTGAGAGCTTCAAAACTAACGCGATGATAGTTCCCGAAAGACCATGGTCTCTTCGAACCTCCTCTACCTGATGGAGTACATCTGCGATTCTTCCTCAAGTTCGACGCTGTACCACGCTTTCTGTTACCATACATCTCGGACAGAAAGAGCACATATGGTAGCTTTTTGACGAAAGAACATGTGCGCCAGAAACTTGTAGTTGAGTTCTCATCACCAAACATCACAAGCGAATTTCAGGGGAAACACCTTCGCAGCACAGTCATCGGCGCCTTCATCGGCCGGCTGTACGAATCAATGGGATGGGATGTCACGCGCATCAACTACCTCGGTGATTGGGGTAAGCCCATTGCTCTACTCTACGTCGGGTGGGCCAAGTATGGTTCAGAAGAGGCATATGAAGCAGATCCTGTTGGCCATCTCCTCCAAGTCTATCACAAGATTGAAGAGGACTTTAAACCAGAGCAAGCTGCAAGCAAACAGGCGCGTGATGAAGTAGCCAAAGAAGGAGAAGACAAGGGAGAGGCGCAAGTTGAGATTGAAAGCAAAGGCATCTTTGCCAAACGGAATGAAGCCTTCAGGAAGCTCGAAGACGGCGACGAAGCACTTGTGGCGTTTTGGGAACGTGTTAGGAACGTCAATATTGACAACTATACCGAGTTTTACGAACGACTCGGTATTCGCTTTGATGAGTACACTGGAGAGTCTCAGATCGGCCAAGACACTATGATCGAAGTCGAGCAGATGTTGAAAGACAAGAACATCTCGGAGGAAAGTGGAGGAGCTTGGATCGTTCATATGCAGAAACTAGGCATGAAATCCGGAACTGCCATTATCCGCGACCGTACTGGAGCTAGCACGTATCTTCTTCGCGACCTTGCTGCTGTGCTGGAAAGGTCAAGGAAGTACTCGTTCGATAAGATGATTTACGTTGTGGCTAGTGATAACAGCGTCCACTTCGGACAAATCATCAAGATCTTGGAGGCTTTGGACTTGAAAGATCTTTCCAGCAAGCTACAGCATGTCAAATTCAACGAAATGTCAAAGATGGCAGCGGCACTAGGCAAAGGCTACAAGCCTCAGAATATACTAGATGCATGCGAGGAAGCAATGAAGGCCTTGCCTGGGTCAGACGCGAACAAACTTGCTTTGATGGGTGAACGGGATAAAGCCAAAGAGGGCCTGGCGACATCCGCACTTCTCATCCAAGAGCTTTCCACCCGCCTGGTCACCGCCCACGCCTTCGACACCAGCACAATGACCTCTTTCAAACTCGGATCAGGACCAGATCTCCAGTACTGGCTGACCCGACTTCATCTCCTCCTCAAAAACGTCGATTCTGCAGCCGAACCTTCGGATGAAGACTACGAAGTATTGGCCGAAGAAGACCAAGCAAACCTGTTGCGTATCCTGGCTCAGTACCCAGAAGTCGTAAAGGCAACTTATAGCTCACTTGAGCCGGCCGGCGTCGTTACGTATCTTGCTAGCGTGACTGAGCAACTGGCTGAGTGCCTTGTACAAGATGATGAGGAAGTTGAGGAAGCGGACGGGGAGGGTGAAGGTGTCACTCCAGGGCTTGCTGCGCTATACGAAGCCACTGCGATTGTTCTGGAAAATGGCATGAAATTGCTGGGTCTGATTCCAGTAGCGGCTTCAATCTCGCGAGAGAGAGCGGATACGCCGGTGTTGGGTTAGGCTCGATGAAAGTCGGTGTCTTTGAACAAATGTTATTTTCCCTCATCTGTTCGTTTCTTGCAGTGTGCACAATTGGTTGATACATTATATGTTCTCTTTCAGACTACTCTTGTTGATCTTTTGAAGAAATTGAATGTGTTTGCAAAATAACTAAGTTCGGTGATCCACGATAATACTAGTGTTGCTGCCCCGTGGCGGACGCAGTAGAGTCACACTGAGGGGCACAAAAGGGTTGGCACATTGTTATCGATATCAAAACCTACTACCCCGCTTTTAGGAGCGCAAAGATGAGAATTTATCTCGATTCGATATCCCATCAGCGTGTTAGGATGATATATCTAAGTCTATAAACACATTAATTCCAAGCTTTTCCATCAAAATCCGATATGGTCTAGTGGCTAGGATTTGCCGCTCTCATTGCAGAGTCAGTTCACTGTTCAGTGCCGGCAAGGCCCGGGTTCGATTCCCGGTGTCGGAAATTCTCTTTTTGCTGTTCCGACGTGACTATGTCGAGTCGAGAATAGTTTTTTTTGTGATGATGGTGAAGGTAGCGCGGGTACCGTAAGCGAGCGCCGGTCACGGACTAGTGGCCCAGCATCGTTCTGTCACTAGGCGCATTTTATTCCAACCAATTCACGATCGATATTAATGCCGTTATTTTCCATGTGATTTTATTCTTTTGATTCCATGGTGTACATGGTATGAGTTGAACGGGTGCCATTCTAGGATCTCTTTAGCTGCATTATATAATGTAACTACAATAGCAGCATGGGAAGTAACCCCAATACAACATAAAAAGTTGAATGGCAGCTATTCTGCCATATTTAACATCTTGCAATGATTGGTGAGGTATGAATGTTTAGCTTCATGTTGAAAGAGCGCGAGTCGTTTCAATCAGTAGAATGGACAGCACACCAACTGCGCAAGCTGCTGGATTTTTGCGTTTTGGTGTAGTAATGGTCCTGCATTCGTGGTAATAGGACGAAGGGATTAGTAGTGAGTTCAATGAGATACGGTCTACGTTGATAGCAATGACAAGGTAAAACGAGCTGTGCTTTTCCTGAATTGATTAATGAGGTGAGATGAGTTGAAGAGAGCATTGCATAGTTTTATTGTATTACTACTACAGGCGCACAGCAATAGTGCATGCTGCCTTCACCCTGACCTCATCGCAACAACTCAATCGATAGGTGGCGACCGAGGCTAATAAATCAGTTAGTACTACCTTCACCTGCTGGCATCAAGTTTCCCAACACTATATCTATTGGACGTACTTCTCTCTCATCCACATTTCCTCAACTCCCAAACCAAAAACACCACACAAGCCCCCGCAACCAAACCAACCTAACCCAAGCATGCCCCGCAAACGCTCCTACTTCGATGGTCCCGGCCGCATACTCGGCACTGGAGAACTCGTCGAGCCAAAATGCAGCGTGAAAAAGGTACTACAATTCCACCACAGAGAAAACAGATATGAAAAGGAACTAACACCAAGCTAGATGCAAGACGCAGGGTACATCCCACCAAAAGACATCAAGTCCGATACGGAAGATGGAAGTTATGCAGATGACGTCCAAGACCGTACCAAGGACGAGGAATGGACGCCCAAGTCGAAGAAAAGGAATATGAAACAGGGCAAGGCCGAGGGAGACGAAGTCGTCAAATCGATTAAATAAGATGCTGGCGATAAGGATGAGCAGTGTCTTTTGGAGGAGTTGAACAAGAACGACGCCGCTGTTACGGAGGGCCAGGACGGAGGAGGACGTCACGAATGCAGCTGTTCTGTCTGCAAGAAGCTGAGAGGTGAAGAGGAGGATTAGTTGAGCGAGTAGTTGGAGAGAAGGAAGTTGGGGAAGTTGGAGGAGAAGCTGGATGGGGAGTGGCATGGCTGATGTTTTGTGGCAGATTTATGGGCGTTAAAACAGTACGAAAAAGGGGGTGAATATGGCTTTTCCGAATGGAACTGGGAAATCGGGATTGATACTGCAGGTATCTCCGCATCACTGGAGAGGTTAGGTTCCAGGACTGTGATCATGCTGACTTCTCCCATCCTGGTATCTTATTTTTTTCTCTCCCGGGGACAGCCCATATGGATGCATGGTGTCAATAAGGTTTTCTTTCTCGCCTTCTGAAATCCTCGCCACTGGAATCTTGATGATTGGACCGAAGATGGCGGTCTCACCCTTTTTTTTTTTGCTGGCTATGTAGTCTTTGGTAAGTTCGGGCTCTGTACCACCGTGTCCGTTGCTGGACGTACGAAAATTTGGCAGGTGTCGCAGAACCAGCTCTTGAAGGAATGAATTCGCTGCAAATGGAGACGATCGGTAGTTTTAAGTGTTTCCGCTTGATTATCTTGGCGTAGTGACCTCTTTGAAGTCGGTGTTACTGCTGCTGTCAAGACTTGCACTCCCGATAGTTTTGATGGGATCGTCCCCATCCTTCCTTTGAAGACTTTAAATTTCTCGACTTTTCTTCTTTTGCCAACATCATTCTTGTGTATGCATATCGGTTTTGGTTTAAGTATTGAGGAGGACGGCTTGCGAAAAGTAGAAGGCGACTATAGGTGAGAGGCGCATCGAGTGTGTTCGCCTGGAGAGAGTAAGAAAAGTGGAGTCAATACTAAAGCCTCAAAGTGCAAAACGGGCGAAACCTAACTGCGAATCGTTGCTTTAAGCACACGCACGGTTCGGTTCCCTACTTTGATTGGCTAGAATGAAGGCCAGGCCAGATGTCATAGCGTACGGAAGCTATCATCCGAACGGCGATGTATTTACATCGGAATATGCTTACCTCGCCAACAGTTCGTATCGATTAAAGGCAAGTTGGTCAAAGTTATCGAGTCGGATCAGTCCAAAGTCTTAAACGCGGGAACGAGGGTGATGGGTTCAAACGGAACGAAGCTCATGAGAAGCAGGACACATCACAGAGTGATGCAGAATCAGTTACCATTCAAAAGAAAATTGTTTATAAAATCCAAGAAGAGAAAATTGGGCATGTTGTTAAAATTGGTGAGTAACGCGACAACAAGGTACCGGCCAAGCTGATAAAGCGGAAGGCGAGGCTGTAGATAAAGAGGATAGTGAAAAAGAGCATATGCTACTATTGCCTGTCGTGGCGCTATTTCTGGATGAGAAAACCCTGTTCGATATGCAGGCCAAGTAGACTAAGCCCATTGCTCCCATGAAGCTAGCTCGGGGATTGTGCAGCATATTCAGCGTTGCTGGAGACAGGGTCTTTTGCATTTCCAGGTTCGAGACTTTGCCGCGTCTGTCCAAGTAAATCGAACTAGTTGAATACTCTAATCAAGCGCTTGTCTGTAGATTTGGTAAAGTAGCCACCACCCCAGAGGTTGCGGCAAATGGCGAACGACAGGACGTGGCGGCCGTCAAAGCAAATGGTGCTACAGCGTCTGCTAACAGGTTTGGTAGATTGACGAGCGCATGCGTAGCAAACCAAGACCATTTCATGATAAATAAGACTAAGACGACGTTGGAGTAAAGTGTTCCGGTGTTGGTAGCGGCTGACCGGGGCTATCCTTACACAAGACCCTGGTTAAGGCAGGAAGTGGTCGATGCTGCAGCCGGAGACCTCGCCTCAGAGGAGCTAAGATTGGAGCGGTCGGCTAAGGTGACCCTGTCCAAGCTCCACGTCAGTGGGGGACAACCACCGGGTGCGTTGCAAAAGAGTAACTGGACTGCATGCACAATGGTTTTGCCACCGGTGAGTGCAGATTGGGAACTTGGTTAGACGAGATTAAGCCATTGATTGCGAGCGTTGCACGCATGATGAAAAGTATAAGAGGTATCGTAGACAGTATTGAGGAAGAGGGCCGGGACCGAGGCGGAATGGGGTACTTAGTATAGTGTGAACGTTGTGGGCGGATAAAGCTTTGAGGGACCAACTAGACTAGGCCTTGGGTAAGCGTAGCATTAGGCACAAAACCGTGTACTCAAGAGTGTGCAGTTGGTGATGCAACGATCTTGGTTTGGTAAGTGCTTTAACCTAATGCGAAGACAGACGGCGACAAAGATGGCTGTCAGTCTTGTACTGGTGCACATAGTCGCATGGCAGCTGCAAGGGTCTGAAACCTGAAAATGTCAAACTAGATGTAGACACCTGCATCCAACATGACAACGCAAGGATGCAAGAGTACAAGCTATGTGGAGAGACTGAATGTGGTTTGCCAGTGGTTTTTGGGGGGAGGGTGGTGGTGGTCTCGAACTCATGCCGTTGGCCTCACTACTAGGCGTAGCTACCTTAGTACTACCCCGCTAAGAACAGGGTTATGACGGTTCCCCCACCGAGTAGTAGTAACAGCATAGTAGGTAGTGCTCATGTGAAACCTTTGTAGCCACCCATCCCAATATACTTGTACACCGCCTGTGCAAGATGACCAAAGCGGGTGCAAACAGTGCCGAGCAGTATCAGTGGTGGTGATGTCGACTCGTGATGGCTGTCCCGCCACGGCGAGCTTTGTCAGGGCCTGTTAGCAAGCGCCTTGGTTTGTGTGTGGAAGTCTCGCAGGGGTGGGTCAGACTGGTCGTTGGTGGGTGAATTGAAGAGATAAGGTTGTTTCAAATCGACTAGTATTCGTCAGGGCCTGTGCCAAGCTTGATCGCCTGCATCTCTAACCACAACCCCACTCTTTCACCTCATGGAGCGTGAATAGCCATGCCTCGCGCCCTCGTCGCTTACAGCAGCGGCTTCCGCGTCTTGGCTGGGGGGCTCTGGAGCTCTGCAGGTGCATGCGGCGAGCATCTCTCTCTCCGGATTAAGGTTCCATGGATCGGATTTGGAAACTCTAACCTCATCACCAAGTCGGCTTGGCGGACATGTCTGATACAGCCGCGGCAGGGCCCGCTTTCAAATGCCTATTGTCCACGAGTGAGACAGGCAGCGGGCTAGGCAAAGAGGCAGCCAAACATGTAGCTAGGCCGAAGAAAAGCGCCTTGTGCGATGTGATGTGGTGGGATTTATCCGCGGGGCCGAACTTGATCCGAACATGGTCAGCGGCGGGGAGGAAGAGGTAATGGGTAGAGCAAACTGGAGCAGAGCTCTATGGACCTGGGCTCACAGCGGGTACGGCAGCGAGAGCGGTGAAGAGGGCGCTGGGCCAATGCGGACAACGGATTGAGGCTGGCGGCGTGGGGAGGATGGGGGAGCAGTAGGCCAGAGAGGTTTCCGGTGTGTTTGGCGGGCGGATACCATGGGCGGCGTACGCAATCCTCTCTCGAAACCATCTTGCGTCGGCTACGCTGCCCCTCCATGACTAGCCAGAGCTCTCCCATGCTCACCCCCCGCGCCCGGTGAAGCTCTGGCCGTGGCGTGGCATGCACCTAGCCCGTGCTTGCTTCTGACGCCGCCGACGGAGACTCTGGCAACCTTGGGCCACCACGCCTCCATCTGCCTTGGCTCTCTACAGCTGTTTCGGGATTAAACTTGCGTCCTGGGCTCCAGTCACTCGAAGCAGCCACAGCTCCAGCGACTGCGCCAGGCCCTGCCTCTCCGATAGGCGCTGCCATCAATAAATTGGCCCTCCACCTGCTCTCTTGCACCCCTCTCAGACCTCTCCTTCCCCTCCCTCTCTCACCCTCCCTTTTCCCCTCCCCTCATTCCCCCTCACCATCCTCCTCGTCCCCTCCAATTGCACCACACAAAGCCGTCAGTCACAATGTCAGGCCTCGCAATGGACCCGGCCAGCTCGTCGGCCATTGACGACAACGACTTTGACGAGGACCATGGCGAGCACCACCCCCACAGAAACTCGGTGCACCACAAGCTGCGCGCCAGCAGCTCCATTATGCAGCTCAAGAAGCTGTTGGGTACGTCTGCGCGATCCAATGGCACGTAATCCGCCTCTGGCCGCCTCTAACACGTGTCTGTCAGTGGCCAACCGAGGAGAGATCCCTATCCGCATTTTCCGCACAGCCCACGAGCTGTCGCTGCACACAGTGGCCGTCTACAGTCATGAGGACCGCCTCAGCATGCACAGGCAAAAGGCCGACGAGGCCTACGAGATTGGCGCGCGGGGTCAGTACACGCCTGTCGGCGCCTACCTGGCCGGCGACGAGATCATCAAGATTGCCGTCGAGCACAATGTCAACATGATTCACCCGGGTTATGGTTTCCTGTCGGAGAATGCAGAGTTTGCCCGCAACGTGGAAAAGGCCGGCCTCATTGTGAGTCTTTGACCATTTTGTTTACGCTATGACGAAAGCGCGTGGAGGGGCTGCCACATGCCTAGAGTATTGCCCGCACTTCAGCCTATCGCCCTTGGCGGGGCCGATCGCCCACCTGCCCGGCGCCGATCCTCGCAGACGGCACACCTCAACACCACCACGCTCTTTTTTGCTGAATCCTTGCATATGCAATCCTTACATCCACGTCCAACCAGCGCTAACCCATTTTGCTCGTTTAGTTCGTTGGCCCCTCTCCCGATACCATTGACGCCCTCGGCGACAAGGTCTCCGCGCGAAAGCTCGCCGTCAAGTGCAACGTCCCCGTTGTACCGGGAACCCCTGGCCCTGTCGACAAGTTCGAAGACGCCAAGGCCTTTACCGATGAGTATGGTTTCCCCATCATCATCAAGGCCGCGTTTGGCGGTGGTGGTCGTGGTATGCGTGTAGTGCGTGAGCAGTCGACTCTCAAAGATAACTTTGAGCGTGCCACATCAGAAGCCAAGTCGGCTTTCGGCAACGGAACCGTCTTCATCGAGCGATTCCTCGACAAGCCCAAGCACATTGAAGTCCAGCTTCTGGGTGACAACCAGGGTAATGTCGTCCATCTGTACGAGCGTGACTGCAGTGTCCAGCGTCGTCACCAAAAGGTCGTTGAGATTGCTCCGGCCAAGGATCTCCCGGTTGAGACCCGTGATGCCATTCTTGCCGACGCTGTCAGGCTGGCGCAGAGCGTCAAGTACAGGAACGCGGGTACTGCTGAATTCCTGGTTGATCAGCAGAACCGCTACTACTTCATCGAGTATGTATGCCAGGGATGAACTTGTCGTACCATCGCTAATACCCTTCCAGAATCAACCCCCGTATTCAGGTTGAGCACACCATTACCGAAGAAGTCACTGGCATCGATATTGTTGCCGCACAGATCCAGATTGCCGCAGGCGCTTCCCTTGAGCAGCTCGGTCTGACTCAAGATCACATCTCTACTCGCGGTTTTGCCTTCCAATGCCGTATCACCACCGAAGATCCCGCTCAGAGCTTCGCGCCTGACACTGGAAAGATTGAGGTATACCGTTCCGCTGGTGGAAACGGTGTCCGGTACGTTGACAGCTATAAGCCTTAAATGCGTAGACAAAATGCTAACATTTACCTAGTCTTGACGGTGGTAACGGTTTCGCAGGAGCCATCATCACTCGTAAGTACACTTTCACCCAGATACCTGGGCCTGAGCTAACCATCTTAAAGCCCATTACGATTCCATGTTGGTAAAGTGCTCCTGCCGTGGTTCGACCTACGAAATTGTACGCCGTAAGATGCTGCGTGCACTGGTCGAGTTCCGTATCCGTGGAGTCAAGACCAACATTCCTTTCTTGATCAAGCTTCTCACACACCCTACCTTCGTGGATGGCCAGTGCTGGACCACTTTCATCGACGATACCCCGGCTCTGTTCGATCTTATTGGATCCCAGAACCGTGCTCAAAAGCTGCTCGCATATCTTGGTGACCTGGCTGTCAACGGCAGCCAGATCAAGGGACAGATTGGCGAACCCAAGTTCAAGGGTGTTGTCCCCATTCCCGCCATCCACGACCACACCGGCAAAAAGGTCGACACCTCCGCTCCTTGCACAGAGGGTTGGAGGAACGTCATCTTGAAGGATGGTCCCGAGGGCTTTGCAAAGGCTGTGCGTGCTAACAAGGGCTGTCTCATCATGGACACCACCTGGCGTGATGCCCACCAGTCGCTTCTCGCTACTCGTGTCCGAACCGTTGACCTCCTCAACATTGCCAAGGAGACTAGCCATGCTTTCTCCAACGCCTGGGCTCTCGAGTGCTGGGGTGGTGCTACCTTTGACGTTGCCATGCGTTTCCTTTACGAGGACCCATGGGACCGTCTGAGGAAGATGAGGAAGCTTGTGCCCAACATTCCCTTCCAGATGCTTCTCCGTGGTGCCAACGGTGTTGCATACTCTTCCCTGCCCGACAACGCCATCTACCACTTCTGTGAGCAAGCCAAGAAGAACGGTGTCGACATCTTCCGTGTCTTTGACGCGCTGAACGATGTTGAGCAGCTCGAGGTTGGTGTCAAGGCTGTTCTCAAGGCTGGTGGTGTTGCCGAAGCGACAGTCTGCATCAGTGGTGACAGTGAGTGACCATATTTTCGAAGCAAATAAGAATCTGCTAACTCTGCATTTTAGTGTTGAACCCTAAGAAGAAGTACAACTTGGAGTACTACTTGGACGTCGTTGAGAAGATTGTCAAGATGGGCGCCCACATTCTTGGCATCAAGGACAGTAAGTCATATCGTTTTACCGACTGTGAAACACATACTAATTCGCACGTCAACAGTGGCTGGTGTACTCAAGCCTCGCGCTGCTCGCCTTTTGGTTGGCACTATCCGCAAGAAGTACCCTGACCTTCCTATCCACGTCCACACTCACGACTCTGCCGGTACCGGTGTGGCATCCATGGTTGCTTGCGCCGAGGCTGGTGCTGACGCCGTTGATGCCGCCATCGACAGCATGTCTGGTATGACTTCCCAGCCCAGCGTTGGAGCCATCCTTGCATCTCTCGAGGGCACCGATTTCGACGCCGGTCTGGACGCCCACATGATCCGCAACCTCGATGCCTACTGGGCTCAGCTCCGTCTTGTCTACTCGCCCTTTGAGGCTGGTCTTACCGGACCTGACCCCGAGGTCTACGAGCACGAAATTCCCGGAGGTCAACTCACCAACCTCATCTTCCAGGCTGCTCAGCAGGGTCTTGGTGAGCAGTGGGCTCAAACCAAGAAGGCTTATGAGCAAGCCAACGACTTGCTTGGTGACATTGTTAAGGTCACTCCTACATCCAAGGTTGTCGGTGACTTGGCCCAGTTTATGGTGTCCAACAAGCTTTCCTACGATGACGTTCTAGCCAAGGCTGAACAACTTGACTTCCCGTCGTCAGTCCTGGAGTTCTTTGAGGGTCTCATGGGTCAGCCCTACGGCGGATTCCCAGAACCTCTTCGCACACAGGCTCTGCGTGGCCGCAGGAAGATGGACAAGCGCCCCGGTCTCTATCTTGAGCCCGTGGACATTGTCAAGATCAAGTCTGAGCTCAAGGCGAAGTGGGGTGATGCCACCGAGTGTGATGTTTCATCCCACATCATGTACCCCAAGGTCTTTGAGGACTACAAGAAGTGGACCACCAAGTACGGAGATCTCTCTGTGCTGCCTACTCGGTACTTCTTGGCTCGTCCTGAGATTGGCGAGGAGTTCCACGTTGAGCTAGAGAAGGGTAAGGTGCTCATTCTCAAGCTCCTGGCCATTGGCCCGCTCTCTGAGCAGACTGGTCTCCGTGAGGTCTTTTACGAGATGAACGGTGAGACCCGTGTCGTTACCGTTGAGGACCAGCACGCAGCCATTGAGAACGTTTCACGGCCGAAGGCTGATCCCACCGACAGCAGCCAGATTGGCTCGCCCATGTCTGGTGTACTGGTTGAGGTGCGTGTTCACGATGGCAGCGATGTCAAGAAGGGTGACCCTGTTGCTATCCTGAGCGCTATGAAGATGGAGATGGTAATCTCAGCACCACACTCTGGAAAGGTTAGTGGACTGTCCGTACGCGAGGGTGACTCTGTCGACTCTGGCGACCTTGTATGCAAGCTGGTCAAGTAAACAAGGGATATGGAATATGGAATATGTGACGATAAGAATGAAGACGATTAGATGAATACAAAAGCAAGGCGCATGGATGCCATTTACGATTGAAAGTGTACAATGATTCGATGCATGTGATACAACGAACTTTGTAAATGGTGATTGACAGTGAACTTGTTTGGAAAAGTTCTAGTTTTTGTCTGAGTAATTTCTGGTTGTCATTGAACAGCGTGGGGGGGGAATGCACATGTTTGGAGAGTAATTAGACAAAGTCGGACCTCGAGTGCACATTCAGATTTCATTATGTAAGAGGTCGGTGGAAGGGAACTGATGTCCCGATTTGAAATGGAATCTGATTCGAGATGCCAAGGGAGCAGACGAATACAGCATAAATTATCTAAGCTATTGTTGGATGAGTGCTTTAAAAAAAAGCGACAGATGCAATATCGCCATGGACGCCATGAAAACATTGACTGGAAGAGAGGGATCTTGGATTGGAAAGCATGTATGAGAGAAAAGAGAGAGTGAGAGACAGGGTTTTGCAGGATTTCAGCCCATGGACCCGAAATCCAGCTTCCTGGCCACCTTATCAGCACGACCATTCGCAGGCGTTTCTCCCCCTCTCCGCTTCAAATCCTCACCCATAGCCTTGGTACCCCCACCTTCCTTTGGCAAATTCTCCTTCTTAGTCGGACGCGGCGCATTAGTCCACCACTTATCCTCGAGCGCCTTCCTTGCTGTATACCTCTTTTGCGGATCCAGCGTCAACAAGCCCCTGATGAAATCGCACCCATCATCTCCGAGGGTGGGGAACTCTTGCTTCCACCAGCTACGCGGGCGGGTCTGTCTGAACGCAGTAGTACCCTGCGGTCCCGTCTGTTTATCGGGGGCGACGTAGTAAGGCAAAGACGTAACGCCCGGCCACGTCTCTTCCGTCGGAGTCCCGAATTTCTCGCAGATGACAGAGACCTGGCGCATGTCCGTGTCGGAATATAGAAACCAGTCGCGCTTGCAGAGTTCGGCCATGAGAACGCCTATGCTCCACATGTCTGCTGTTCCGCCGTAGTGCGAGCAGCCGTAGAGCAGCTCGAGGGGCCGGTACATGCGCGTTATGACCATGGTGGTCATTTTGACGCCTGGGTCCGCGAAGCTGCGTGCGAGACCGAAATCGGCGATTTTGATGGTGCCGTCTGCGGCGATGAGGGCGTTGCTGCCTTTGATATCGCGGTGGAGGACGAAGTTCTCATGGCAGAACCATATTCCTTGGCAGAGCATGTTCAGCCAGGCCTTGATGTCTGCTTTTGTGTATGTAATTTCTTTGTTCTTCCAGAGCTTCTCGAGGTCGCCGAGGGGAAGGTGCTCGAGGACTAGGGATAGGTTTTGTTCTTTGGTGGAGAAGACGTCGTGGAGTTTGATGACGTTGGGGTGTGACATTTCGAAGAGGAATTGCATTTCGCGGATGGCGTCGGGGGCGATGCCGTTGGGGTACTCGGCGTTGTATTTGATCTTCTTGATGGCGACAATGTGCTTGGGGTTGTCGCGGTAGTGCGCTTGGTATACAACGGCGTAGGTACCCTCTCCTAATCGTGGACCCATGACGAACTGGCTCCGTACTCGGTCGTTCATCTGCTCTGCGAGGTCCATGCCGCCGTCGCCGGCTATCGTGGCGGGCGCGGGTGGCGCTGGCGACTTGACGGGCTTGGTGGTGTGGCTTGGGAGGGCGAGGGTCCTCGTCTTGCTCGCGGTAGACATGACCGCGCCAGGCGGATTAGGCCGTGGGCTGAGGACGACGGGCGATGCCATGGTGTGCTTGCGAGAGGGTCGCGATTGGGCCGGAGGAGAGTGCGTGTATGGATGTAGGTGGAGAGTCGTCAAGAAGACGTGGTAGAGGGTCGGGTGTTAGCAAAGGGCCCAACCGGTATCATGAGAGAGGCGAGTCTGCCACCATCTCCATGCCTTTGTTCTCCTTCTTCCTGCTGTCCTCCTCTTGCAGTGAATGGGCCAAGATAGTGAATAGATAAAGGGCGTGCATGGTTCTCTAGTCTCCACGGGCGCAGGTACCAGGCAAGGTATGGCATAGCATGGCAGGGCAAGGCACGTCCCCGAACTTTTAGTCTTGGCCGCGGTTTTCAGCGGGGAGCTCGACCTCACCACCGCTGCACGTCGCAGCAGCAGCCATTGTACGCACCATGGCTACTTCTGCCCGAGGACCTCCAGGCACCGTCGCCAGCGAGGGTGTTCCAAACAGGACGTAAGCCACCCACTGTATTTTTGTATCTACACACTCACTCACGCTCATCCAGCCTCTATGTGCGTAATCTGCCCGACAAGCTCCAGAAGAACGACCTCAAGCGGAGCCTGTACATGCTCTTCGCCACACATGGAGTTATTCTCGACATTGTCGCCCTCAAGACCATGAAGATGCGCGGCCAGGCTCATGTCGTCTTCCGCGACGTCGACTCTTCGACACAAGCGATGCGCGCTCTGCAAGGCTTCACATTTTTCGGAAAAGACATGGTACGTCTGCTGCGAACCTCCCTAAAAAGTGCAGCAGCTGATGCAGCTTAGCAAATTGCATACGCAAAGACAAAGTCAGATACCGTGGCGAAGCTCGACGGAACCTACAAGATGCCCGAGCCAGAACGCGCAGAGGACGACCAGGAGGCGCATGCACAGACATCAGGCTTTGGTACTGCACCGGAAAAGGCAGTACCAGTCAACGCACAAGATGCGGCCAAGGGCCAGAAGCGGGCAAGGGAGGATGAGGAAGAGGAAGAGGAAGAGAACTCGGATGCCGAAATGGAGATGGACGTGAGCGACGAGGACTCGGACTAAAAGGACGACACGGTGCCTATAAAAGGATATGATACCCACGAGCAATGAAACAGACATCCCAGCGGGAGGGCATTTGGACAATATTTCGTCTGCACTTGGTTGCTTCGAGTTTGTACGACACTGCGCTGGAGCTAGCTTTGGTCGGTGCTGACTTGATGTAGAGGAGCATTATAACAAAAGACCAGCCTAGCCTACGAGCCTGTAGACAGCCGACAAGGGCCATGCTTTGTACAAGAGCAAACGAGTAGCGTGGGCTTTGGCGCGTAGAATTTGGGGTCAATACGAGACATTACTTGGTCTGACCGGCCGCCAATAGTTCTTTTCGTAATAGTCATTTTGTCTCACAGGCTCTTTCTTGAACCGCGGTATGATAGTGGCCACTTCTTCGTTCTGTTCTGAAAGCTCCTTTCGTATTCGCCATGGTTTCTTCCAGGTTCTTCTTGAACCATGGTTGTGTACACAGCTGTCTATTATATAAAGAACACAACTCGCATCAACCTTACATTTCTTCTTCATCCACCACAGCTTGTAAGTTTTACCCCTCTATTTCTAACATTATTATAAAAGCTGTGCGATCACCCAAAACAGGTACCAATAAGCAAACAACACCATGGATACTGTTCGCCAAGGTTGGACCAACGTGAGGCCAGAGGAGGATGGCCAAGGCTTCACAGAGCGCTCCGCTGAGCGCCGGCAACTTTTTCAAAACCTCAAATCACTCCACCGCCAAACGAAGTTGCCTTCGATTACCTGGGCGTTTCTCCAAATCGCCGATATCGAAGTAATTCGGGAGGTGGTTCAGAGCCGTTTGGCATGGCGATGCTTCGCGGAAGACGAACATCGCTTGGCAACAGAAAAGAAAGCTTTGGACACGATTCGGCTCTGGTCCCAGAAACAACCAGAGAAAACCCCGACAGCAGCAAGTGCAATGCCAATACACTCGCAATCCAAAACTGTCTCCAACCAACCAACCTCGACATCTCGCCTTCTCAATGCCAACATACTAGCCGGATCCAAGCGAACTCGATCTGGAAATGTAATTGGTGGCCAAGAATACAGTGTTGGTCGACACGAGGGCGTTCGATCCAACTGTAAGAAACGGGATGGAAACCTTTGCGCGGTCACGAGGCTAGCGGAAATTGACGCCGCTCACATTTACCCATGGAGCGGTTTTGGAGGCCAAAATGAGGAGCGAGTGGTGAATTTTTGGGATACTCTGAAGATGTTTTGGAAAGAAGAATTGGTGGAAAGTTGGCGTAGTAAGTTGTTTGTGGATGCTAACAATCCGAATCGAGGGACGGAGACAGTGGAGAACATGATCTCCCTCTCGGCCACCCTGCACCGATTTCACTCGGCTGCCCGATTTGCGCTCCGACCGATACAACTGTCAGACGACAAGAAAAATCTCAAAATCGAGTTTCATTGGCTTGTTGTTGAAGAGCGCAGTCGCCATGAAGAGGTGGACATTATGGATGAACCTTTGTCTTCGGCCGGCCGGCGTTCAGCTGGCAAGGGCTACGGCCCCCTCGATCGGATTGATCCCGACAATGATACTGCCCGCGAACCATTAAAAAGCGGAACCAAATTTACAATGTCGACCGATGACCCAGTTAAGCGACCCCTCCCAGATTCAGGCCTCTTGACATTGCAATGGCACCTTCAACGTGTGCTCGCCATGTCCGGAGCGGCTGAGTGGACGGAGGAGGATTTCGGCGACGACGATGACGACAACAAGAACGGACCAGGCGTTACAACTTGCAATAATGTGGAAACCTGGCTCCAGAACGTCGAGCCTCCGGAAAATCATCGTCCAAGCCAAATTTCTCGGGAAACCGATTCGGAAGATAGCGTAGATGGTTCGTTTGAATAAACGATATATCTAATCCAAGCATCTTTTATCAGAAACCTCAAACTCTCCTCATATGCTCAACGGAGCACATAGGAGCCCCTCCGCATAAGCAAGCGAAACGTCGAGATTTGGGCCTTCCTTCTCCCCCGAGCTCAGATGCGGACCTCTACCAAGGCCCCGACTGCGCGAGCAAGATAATGTTGACGACTTTGCCTCAACCCGGGCCCATGGCCACAAAGTTATCGAGCGATTTCTGCCAAGTCGGCGGTGAAGAGGAAAAGGAGTCAAGTCTGCGGCACATGCGAGGGGTTCCGACACTTCAGAGATCCCGTCGACGTAGCATATGAAGTAGGTCCTTGGGGGTTGTTTTGCTGACTGTGTACATGTTTTGTCTCGCGCGGGGTTTTTTTAGCTTCGGCTGTTTCCCCGAAAAAAAAACGGGAGCCAAAACCCTACTCTTACCTCCCCGAGTCACGTCATCAGCTCACACTGGTTGACGTGCGGTAGCTCCTGGAAACTAGTTGTGGCATGCACACCTAGGCTAACAAGAGGGGTGATATTTGTGGGGGGGGGTTTATGGGACTTTTTGTAAATTAGCAATCATCATAAGCAGCCACTCGAACTTGAAGTACAACGTTCTTAATCAAGACCGACAGCCTGGTGCTGCAGACTCTTCTTATGCTCCGCACTCACCGCGAACCCCTTATCCGCGACCCCTATGAAAGTCCAAATCGAAAACTTGCGCTAGAGTTCAACCTCCAACTTAGTATCTCGGACAGCCAATTCAACGAGAGGCTTGACCAAGATGCAGCCGAGCGGGCCAAGCGACACGCAGATGGTAGTCGTGGTAGTAAAGTTTTCTCAGCCTGCTGGATAAACAACACGCGGGTGGTGGTTATGGTGGTAAGGTTTTCCCATCCCTTGTAACAACCAACAGACTCTAACAGGTAACATTAGGCTAGACCAGAGTTGACTGGTGGTGTCGTTAGCTCTATGTTTTTTTTAACCAAATATACCAAACTCGATTTTCCGCCACTACTCACATCTTTTTTCTCCAACTCCCCCCTTTCCCCCCCTTTGTATCCATATCTCTCCCGCTACTACTACTACTACTACTACTACTACTACTACTACTACCCTACACGGCTGCCTTTTTCACCCCTCCTCAACCTCAAACCCAACCCTCAGCCACAAACTACAACCCCGACAACCCACCAGCACCTCATTCTCCCCCCTCAGCTGCGCATCCTCCAATTCTTCTTCTACAATCCTAAACCCTTTTTCATCCCCACACCGACACCCCCTCGTCCACTCTACCCCGTCATCCTCTTCACTCGTAGACATGGTCGTTGTTCTCAGCTCGACCTCCTCGAAATCGCTCAAATCAACAAGTTCAAGACCGAGTATGAAATCCTGACTAGTAGCCTGTGCCTGCTCCCACATCGAGGATACCGAAGAATCAGAAGAATCAGAAGGCAGCGTATGCCGATTATGAAGGAACCAAGTATCGTATTCGGCTCGTGTCTTGGGATCCGCAAGTATCGTGTATGCTTCTTTTACGTCGTCGACCGTGTATACAGGCTTCTTCGTCTTTGTAGTCGTAGTGGTAGGGATGCCATCTTGTTTCTTCTTGTCTGGATGCGCTGCGAGTAGCGCTACTTTGTATGCTCGTCGCAGGTCTGCTGCTGCTGCTGCTGTGGTCTTGTTGGCTTGGTTTGTGGGCTGGCGCCAGCCTGGTGCGTCGAGGCTCAGGATATGGTAGTAGTCTTTTGTGTAGGCCATGCTGCGTGACCACAATGGGTGTGAGTGTTTGATGGTAGACTGCGCTGCCCTCGAGGGGCCTTTCTCAGTGCTGCGTTTGCCATGTGTGACGCGACAAGACTGGGACAGAAAAGTTGGGCGGGGGTACTTTGTTCGCTTGCTCGGTACTACTAGTGGTGGGGCGCGCCGTTCCACAGCATCGGGTGCAGGTGCATGGCAACCTTGGAAAAGGACCGTTCAACAGCCCCTCACCAAGATCGACAATGTAAGTATAGTTATGCAACACAAATCACATGTTCTGATCCAGGCTTACAAAAACTGTCCAAGGTGAGAAAGTCAAACATCACGACTGAGCATTGCAAAAAGTCTTGAAGTAACGGCTTCTTTGGCTAGCTAAGAGTGCAGTATCATGACATCAAGCCCACCAGAGCGTTGCGTACTGCTCTGTCGGCCATCGAAGAAGATGTCCTGACTCCGAGTCCACCAAAAAGACGTCAAACATCTCTATCCACCATAGGATCGAGCTGTTCATAGGCTGCCAAAACGAAAACATGGGGGGGAATTGAGGGTCGCATCCGAGGAACCGAGCGCAGCCTTTTCTCGCCGATAGCAGCCCAAGCCCTCGCAGAAGAGGGCATCAGAAGTGCTGCAATCGTTGTTATGACACAAGATGTCAGCACACTGCGTGCTCGATAGGATAGCGCTGGCGATACAGGATATTTAAAGGGAAATACATTTCAGTCATGGGGGAATTCGACCGTACCGAACCGCTTGCTGCCAAAGCCAATTTTTGAAATCACACAGAACACGTACAACTCCGTAGGACGCTCGCTACCGGCCTCCTTCGTCTATTCGAAAACAGATGACGACGGCTGAGGATACACAAGGTCGAAGCAGGAAGAGTGCGCTTAAGCGGCGGCAGCAGGTGTCTCCTCAGGCTTGGCCTCGGTTGCAGCTGCTGCGTCCTCGGCGGGCTTGGCCTCGTCCTTGGGCGCGTCGGCAGCGGCACCCTCGCCCTCGTTGCCGTCTGATGACGTCCAGAGAGTGAGGTTGTCACGGAGGAGCTGCATAATGAGGGTGCTGTCGCGGTAAGACTCCTCAGAGAGCGAGTCGAGCTCGGCAATGGCGTCGTCGAAGGCCTGCTTGGCAAGGTGGCAAGCACGGTCGGGCGAGTTCAGGATCTCGTAGTAGAAGACCGAGAAGTTCAGGGCAAGTCCGAGACGGATGGGGTGCGTGGGTGTGAGCTCAGTCTGGGCAACATCGGTGGCCGTCTAGAGCATAGTTAGCAATCTCCTGGTTTTTAGCGCGATGCAATGATTGCGTCATACCTTGTAGGCCTCGTGTGCAGCAGTGGCGGCAACCTTGCGCTTCTCACCGGAAGCAAATTCAGCAAGGTAACGGTGGTAGTCTCCCTTCCTGTCCCTTTGTTAGCCTAGTTTTCGGTGTATGTGTGTGTGTGTGGCAGGGTTTTTGCACGAACATCTTGTGGTAGAAGACCTTGGACTCGCCGGACTCGGCCTTGGGGATGAGGGAGTCGTCGAGGACGTTTAGGACATCCTGGCAAACCTGCTCGAGCTCGGTCTCGATCTTCTGGCGGTAGTCACGGATGGTGCCAACGTGCTTCTCGGTGCCCTTGGACTCTTCCTTTTGCTCGATTGAGGAGATGATGCGCCACGACGCGCGTCGGGTACCAACGACGTTCTTGTAGGCGACGGACAGAAGGTTGCGCTCGTCAACGGTGAGTTCACCGGCGACCTATGGGGCGGGTTAGTACAGGTTAAAAGGGGAGCTTGCAGCTGGCAGGTGGCTGCTGGAGCCTGCTCAGCCATATGCAGGCGGATGCGGTCGGGCATACCTTAGCGACTTCCTGCGCGATAGTTAGCATGCGAGGGGGGTTGAGCAAGAGTGACTGGCGTATTGACTGACCTTCATGTACGTAACCATCTCTGCAAACAGGCGTCGTCAGCACATTGCGCGGGACTCAGCTGAGGGCGCGCAGGACTTACCATCGTAGCGCTCAGCCTGTTCGCACAGCCGGGCGAGGAAAGTCTTGCTGTTGCGACGTCAATTACTGCAGGGAGCCGTGGCGGGCAAGCCTATCGTACCTCTCACGCTATTTGCAAGAGTCTTGTTAGCCTGTGTTGCATGTATACATGTGTGTGTACGTATGCGTGTGGTCTATCGGGGAGCCAGAGGGGCATCCCGCGGCGGACAACAGCGGGGGGGGGAAGGTGGGAGAGGATGGGAATGGGGGCTTCACATACCTCAGTCGCCATTGTGAAGGAGTAGCTGGAGGGAGTGGATGGGGTGGTTGTGGTAGTTGAGTGTGGGGTGGGGTGCAGATGGGCTACGGAAGGATAGACGGTGGATGGAGTTGTTGAGGTGTTTGTGTGGATCAATGAACAGAAGAGGATCGAAGTTGTTTTGAGGAAGCGAGCGTCTGCCCTAAGAGCGTCCCGGGGGGCCGTGCGTAAAACGAACAACACCACCCCGTCGCCAGCGCCTTCCCCCAATGGGCGCCTGGGATGAGTCTATTCACATGCCCGCCTGCCCCGTTCGCGCCGTTGGCATGCGGTGTACCTGCTAGGCCGACGTCCTGTACGTACATATCCACACATGTGCACTCCCACACACCCCTTTTGCCATGTCGTTCCCCTATTTCCTTGGTATCTACGTGCTGCTGCTGCCTCTGCTACTACCACCGCTGAGGCTGTGCGCGACAACTCAAGGAGCTGGCAATGAGGGGTACATGGGGGGGCACGTGAGCATTCAGGGTCTATCCACCCACCCATCCGTCCACTCATCCATCCATCCCCCCCTAAAAGAGAGCATCCACTGCCAGCGCCCATAGCCCTGCCCAATCTCCCAACCCCCCGTGGCGGCGCTGGCAGGTGTTGCGTGCTGTCCAGCCGTCAGCCTGTAGTCGTTGCCGCCCACAAAGTCACACGAGGCGGGCGTGGGAGGGCGGCGGCCAGCGAAGGAGAGAGAGGGAGAGGCTGACTCCTGCGCTGCCGTCCCATGTTCAAGTGGGGGCCAATCAGTGCACCTTGGAAACAGCTAGAAAACTTGGACGGCTCCTCTTGCGTGGAGCTGCTCTGGTTGCCCCCATGATTCGTGTGTCGCGCTGTGGGCAGAGGCTACCCAGCTGGTGTACGTACATCCGCCTCCGGTGCTTACATACCACCACCACCACCTCCACATACTAACTATGTAAGTACATATGTATATATACTATCCATACATGCACATTTACACGCTGCATCTTGACCGGAGAAAGCAGTAGTCATGCCCTCCACTCTGCCAACTCACAAGAGAGAAAAAAAACAAGTACATACACACACACGGCATGCACATTTTGCCTGAATCCCTTGCAACCACTTGTGCATTAAAAAACTTGTGTGCTGACACCGTCTTTGCCGCATGCCACATATGCATTCCACAATCCCCTTCCCACAACCCGGGCCCTGGCTGGTCCGCGCGGTATAATATGCCGTCGCGGCCCGCTACCAGAGCCTTTCGCCCGTGTACACGCCTAACAGCCACCAGCATTGACCGACACCCTCTAGTACTTGCACGGGTCTCTGCTGCGCAGGGACATGTTCGTGCCCTTTGACCTCCTGTAGCCCTCCCGGAGCGATTCGTGTCTGACCCAGACTGCTGACCGACCTTTTGTCCATCCATGTATCACATCTATCTGTCCAATCAACCATTCAATCACATCGCCCACCAAAACGTTGTTGCTATCACATCAACAATCGCCACACTCCCAGCATCAGCGCCGCCGTACCCGTACACACTCCCATCAGCCACTGCAGAGTCGAGAACTTGACGGCTTCTAGCCGCTCCCGGAGCTGGGCAGTTTCCTGCTCGATCCTCGTGTCCGTCTCCTTAAGCTTGAGCTCCTGCACATTGGCCTCCTCGCGAATCCGCCCCTTCTCCAGATTCAAGTCCAGCCTGACCGACGCCTGAGTCCTCTGTATCTCGTCCCGTAGTCGCGAGTTCAGCTTTGCAAGTTCGTTGGTGAGCCTCTCGTGTGATGCCCGTGTAAGACTGGATTCGGTCGAGTCGGCCGTCATGAGTTCGGAGCGCAGCTTTGCAAAATCAACCTTTTGCGTGTATGTAGCCTTTTCCTGGTCCTCGCGCAGCACCATGGTACGTGTGAGATTTTGTATGCTGCACAATGTCAGTTTGCGCCAGCCTTGAATCCTTCCATGCTTTGTCCACACTCACCTCTCCTCAATCACGTCGCTGAGCACCCTCATCATCCCCTCAGCCTGCTCTTCTGTGAACCCCTCCTCTTTCAGCCGCTGCACAAACTTGAGCGTGTCGAAATGGTGGTCCTTGGCCTGCTTTGCCGTTGCGCTGAAGCTGCGTTGAAGCTCCAGAGCAGACCCTTGCCCACTTGTGCGTTGTGCCCATCTTTGCTGCTGCCATTGCCTTGTCCCCACTGTCTGAAGAGGCGAGAGCTTCGAAAGTGGCATGCGACGCTCCGACGCCGCCCAACAAGATCCATGTCGCCTTGCTTCTACTGCCCTTTGCGCCACAGGCTGCGAGCTGCTTGCAGACCATTGAAGCCGAGGTGCGAGAAATCGCGGAATCGCCGCCGCCGATATCGAGGGCGCTGCCATTGTGCCGATGTTGTAGTTCCTACATCGTCTCGCTGTCGAGAAATTGGAAGCCGCCCGCGGGTAGCCAAGCCTCGCAGACGTCAATGGATTTGCCCAATTCGGCATACCATTCCATCGCCCTCACTAAGCCCACCCTGCACCACCGCACTTTCTCACTATGTATCTTTACTTTTTCTGTCATTCTATTGTATATTCATTAGAATTTCTTCAGAGCACATATTCCCAAAACTATAAACAACGCTTGCTATGCATGCCTACCACTAAACAGAGAAGTACGCAAATAAAACAATCACCACCTCCTTATCTACCTTCCGTATTCCAGGCTCGGTACAATCACTGGCCCATACTTCATCGGTGCATTATATCCACCGTCATTTTGCACCATAAAGTCGACTGCCAGGCTTAACTTGCCCCCGCTGTGACCGGGGACGCCTTGCCCAAACGTCCCATTCACAACGTCAGGATCGTATATCACACACGCCACATAGTTTCTTCGACCCATCAGTCGCTTGTACTCCCGCGGTTGTCCGTTGACGTCTTGTGTAAATATTTCCATCATGTCTTCCTTTGTGTCCGAAGGCTGATTGTTGCTGCGATGTCCATTCTGGGGTACGTAGAGCGCACGGTTGTTGTGTAGAAGTCGCAGGACATAGTTGCTGGGCGGTGCGTTCACGACTGAAGAGGAGATAATCTGGTACATGGTCTTGTGATCCTGGGGTCTTGAAGGGTCATGAACCAGACCCGCACCACAGCAGTCAACGCCGCCAGAGAAGAACGTCATTCGCAACGACTTGTTGTGAGCAATGCCTTGTAGTGTCCGAATCAGATATGTCCGCTCAAGGTCCTAGATTTGCTTAGCATGTTACTTGAAATCACGTAGCCTTCACTAACCTTTGAATCGTGCGTCCATTGATCTCTCAACTCATCGAGCAAATCAATCTCTCCAAACGGACTCAAGACGCCACTCATCAGCCCAGACTTGCCGATAGCCTTCTTGACCGAGTTGAAACCGTCTCCGACAACGCTCTTGGCCCCAACAACACCAGCCACTCCAGCAGTTACCTTTCCAAGCATGTTAAAAGTACCAGTGACGGCCTTCTTGCCCGTAGCCATCGAGTGCGCAAGATGCTCAACAGACTCAAGGCGAGGATATACAATGGGAACAGGAATCATCCAGATACAATGTTGCACACTCGGCGGTAATGTTGCCACCTTGGGGAAGATGCCCTGATACGTTGGTCCTGCCATGACTTGATGCGGGTTACGTTCTGAGCGGCAGTCTGGGCCAACAACTGTAACACAAGGACCCAGATACTTGATAAAGTGCCAACCCGTGCCAGTGATTGTGAAAAGGTCCATATCGTTGTTTACGTTGCGGAGTATTTCGAGCGTTGTGTGGTGCTGGAAGAGCAAGTACATTTCAATACCCAATCTTCCAATGTTCTTGAACATGTTGGAAAACTGCATATATTCAGGATATGACCCGAAGCCATCAAAACTGCAAATTGTTAGTATCCAGACAGTTCAAGAATTTAACAAGAGCTTACATGTCGTGGTCATCAAGAGCTAGGATGTGGGGAATTTGAGCGAATGCCTCTCGGAGATGTGGCTGATCAAAATGGCTAGTGTAGTAGTGGAAGTAGGCGTGACAAACGTCTTCCTCGTGCTTCGCGGTCCACGCTGCGTTCTTCCGGACCTCTTTGCCACTTGTTGCTGTCCATTGCTTCAACAATGGCAGCTCTTTCCACAGACGGTCAGCATAAATCTGGCCACCCAGGCCCAATTGTACATGGAAGCCACCGCACTCGGCATTCTTTTGCAGAATGTCCTTCCACATCAATCCGACCCCACCGAGTCTTGCTCTCTCATTGGCATTAACATTTAGCGCAAAATCGTTTCCTGAATGAGCAATAAATCGCCAGCTGGTCTCATGTCGCCCAGCTACCAAGAACTCAAATCGGGTGCACCCCAAGTGCGATGTAATTGCGTAGGTCCACTTGGCTGCACGGTCATCTTCCATCTTCAAGTCAATGTCGTATCTGTAGAAGATCCATGTTTGGTGCGTGTAAATGGGGTTGGCCTTGAGCTGTCGTGGGTTGGGTGACAGGTCTGTACTCTGGTGGATATGAATGGTAGGAGGATGAGGGGTGTTGGTGATGAGGAGAATTGATCCCAGCCATAACCCTCGTTCGACGTCCATGTTCGTATACCTTAGATACGGTCCAAAGTATACGCCATTGGTGGGAGCTACTTTATACTGGTCTACGCCTGCAGCAGGAGGTGGTCCGGTGAAGCCTGTGGTAGTTGGAGTTGCAAGAGGTGCCATGCCAAAGTCTCCGGGGAAGGTAGCTGTCTGAGGAGCAAATCCAGGTGACGCCATAGGTGTCTTTCCAAATGATGGGGATGCCAAAGGACCACCAACAAACGTGCCTGTAGGCGACATAGGCTCGTTCAGATTGAGAGGCGTGGGTCCCTTGGGGAACTCCCATTGTGTAGATTGAGTGGGAAGATGGATATAGTAGTACTGACCAGAGTTGGGGTCGAGATGTGCTATCCAACCCTCAGGTAGCGGTGGGGGAGATGCTGGCCCTGGCCCTGGCCCTGGCCCTTGGGCTGGAGCTGGGCTTGGCGTATGAGCTGGTTGAGCC